ATCCTCCTCCCAATCTCATTTCCCACCCCCACACCCCGTGCAGCCTGCTCTGCTCCGGTCACCCTGCCTCCCCCAGCCCCAAGCCGGGCCCAGCCCGTCCCTCCCTTGTGGGGAGCTGCTCGTCTGGACACTTGCCTGGTGGTCCTGGCTGGCTGCCCTGCTCTGAGCCAGCAGGGCTTCACCCCAGAGCTGGGACCTCCCCGTGGGGCAGTCGTGGGGTCGCATAGCCGTGCTGGGAGAGCAGGGAATGGGGGACAAGCCCACACAGCGTCCCCAACCACAGAACCCTGGCTCCGGGTTTAATCAGCTCTACCCAGCCGGGTTTGCATTTCGCCTTATGGGGGCAGGACGGCAGCCGGTTGTTCCAGGCCGGGGGGGTAGAGTGGGGTGGCTGCAATGGAGGGGCTAAATCCCTGCTCTCTCTGCCGTTGCCGATTTCCTCTGCAGAGTTTGTCTGTGTCTCTCTAATCCCCTCTCAAGTGCGACCCTGTGGGATGGGATCAGGCCCCGGCCAAGCGCTGCCGCCCCGGTGGCTTTGGCCTGGGCCAGGTGGTGTTGGGAGGTGGTTTGTGATCCACGGGGAGGCTGCTGCACTGGGATTCAGGCACCTGGGGGCTGGTCCTGGGCAAGTCATGGCCCCTCGCTGGGCCTCTCTTTCCACCTTTGTCCAGTTAGGCTGTGAGCTGGGCAGCACGAGGCACAACAGAGGGCCAGATCTCGGTCAGGGTCTGGGCAGCGCCTGGCACAAGGGGGCCCTGCTCTCGGTCAGGGTCTGGGCAGCGCCTGGCACAAGGGGGCCCTGCTCTCGGTCAGGGTCTGGGCAGCGCCTGGCACAAGGGGGCCCTGCTCTCGGTCAGGGTCTGGGCAGCGCCTGGCACAATGGGGCCCTGATCTCGGTCGGGGTCTGGGCGGTGCCTGGCAAAAGGGGTCCCTGATCTCGTTTGGGGTCCGGGCAGTGCCTGGCACAACAGGGGCCCTGATCTTGGCCAGGGTGTGTGCAGGCTGGGGATGGGGGTCATCCCCCCAGATTTCTAGCAATGTGCACAGTGCTGGATTTGCGTGGGACGGTGCTGGGGCTTGGGCAGCGGGAGTGGAGAGACAGGCTGGAATCAGGGCAGGGGACATTCAGTCCCAGGTATCTGCCCCCGCCCTGACCCATGCGAGTTTCATTCCCAACATCTCCTCATCTAATGAACACCCCAGGGTGCACTGAGCGAACGTCCACTGGAGCCCCGCAGCCTGGGATCCTGAAGCACAGTGATCCTCCCAGCCCCCAGCGGTGGAACAGCAGCACTGCCCCCATTGTACAGAGGGAAACTGAGGCACAGGGTGTGGCCACAGAGCAGACCAGTAGGAGAACTAGACATAGAACTCAGGAGTCCTGGCTCCCCTCCCTCCCTCCATCCTGCTCCTACCCACTAGACCCCACTCCCCACCCAGAGCTGGGGTAGAAACCAGGAGTCCTGGTTCCCAGCCTCCACTGCACTAACCACTAGATATCACCCCCGCTCCCAGAAAGAGTGAACAAGGTTGCCCTTTAATAAGCACCGTTAGGTTTCAGGGTGAACGGCCCCTCCATCAGTGCTGCTGGAGCAGGCTGCCCTGAGGGTGGCGTGGCTCCACTTCCCACAGCCCCAGGATGTGCTGGGGCAGGGCTGGGCTGCTGTGCGGGGAGCTGGGGAGCAGCCCTGGGTGCTGTTAGCTCAGCAGCCAGGTTGTCGGTGCTTGAGCAGCTGCCTGTGCCCCAGGCTGTTCCCACGTCCCAGCACTGCAGGTCGGGCTGCCTCCCCGGCAGCTCGGGGCCTCTGCCCGTGTTCCTAGGGGATCACGCCATTGTACCCCCCTGCACTCCCAGAGCCAGGGGTAGAACCCAGGAGTCCTGGCTCCCAGCCCCCCTGCACTGACCCTCTAGGCACCGCTCCCCTCCCAGAGCCAGGGATAGAACCCAGGAGTCCTGACCCCCAGCCTCAACCCAATAAGCCAGACTCCACAAGCCCAGCAGGGCAGCTGAGGTGGGAAGGGCTGGGTGCTTGCACCCGAGGGAGCGGGTCGGGGCTTGCCTGGCAGGGAGGAGACAGACTCTAGGGGCCGCGGTGGATGAACCGGTTGAACATAAGGGCTGGGTGCCAGACAGCGCAGCGGGGGGCCGATTCTGCAGGGATAGTGCCCTGGCTGCAGTGCAGGGGGGTGGGGGGCACTGTGTGCATCCCCATAGGAGGGCATGCGGGGGGCAGATTCCCCCAGACGGGTGGGAGGGTCTGTTCGCACCAGCCCATTGGGAACCCAGGAGGAAGCGTGGTGCCCAGCCCTGGGGGGCCAGGGAAGAAGGTGCTGCACTGCAGAGACCCTGCAGGCACAGTGCTGGAGCTCAGGGATCAAACAGCTCCCCCCAAGCCCTGGCAGACACAGAGGTCAGGCGTCTCTGCCCCCCCCAATGGAAGCAGTAAGGGAGTATTAGGGTTGGGGGCCATTGCCCCCCATTTCTCCCCATCCTGCCCAGCCCTGAGGCCTCGCCCCAGACTTTCATTTCTGTCCTGTGGACCCCACATCGCCCTGTTCCCTGCCTGGAACCGGTCACCTCTGGCTGGGTGAACCTTGGCACCCGGCTGGGTGAACCTTAGCACCTGGGGCTGTCTGGCATGGAATGCAGCCTGGCACCTGGGCTCGGGAGACAGAAGTCAATGGACTTGGGGAGCCCGAGGGACCCCCCCATCCAGCTCAGCCCCCAATCCTTGCTGCATCACCCCCATGCCTGAGCCCTGGGTGCATCCCACTGGGTGGGAGGGGATGGGGCAGACGGGACTGTGGACGGCTGCTCCCAAATAGGCGAATCCTGGCAGCCCCTGGCATCTTCCCACCTGCCTACACTAGCAGCTCCCATTGCCCCGGCAGCTGTTGCTACATCTCCAGGGAACGTGGCTGGGGGAGGGGACTGGTGGGCCCTCTGGGAGGCAGAGCAGGAGTCGGGGGCATAGGAAGAAGTGGCTGGGGTTGAGGGCTAGAGGGTGAGAGGCAGACAGTGCTGTGGGATGGGGGGGTGACAGCAAAATGCACCTGCACTTGTGGGGTTGGGAAGGTGAGATCGAGTCAGGGACCCCTTGCCAGGTGCTGAGATGCAGCTGCCTCTGGGGTGGGACATGGAGGCTATTGATACAGGGCCCTTCACCCGAAGATGCAGCTGCCTCTGGGGTGGGACAGATGGGCCGCAGGGGCTGCATTCCCCAGCACTGGGCGTGGTGGTTCCTGACTATGCTCTGGCTCCTGTCACTACCCCTGCTTGTGCCTTCATGACCAGGGAGTGGTGAGACACCCTATCCCAGTGGTGCATTGAAATCCTCTGACCCCAGGCTCCTGTCTGAGCCTCCTTTCCCACCCCAGGCTTCTAGTAGGGGCCCAGACACCCTGGCACGGGGAGCACAGTGGTGCCAGGCTGAGCTGTCTTCCAGTGCTCCTGGAGGATTCACCCTGCGGGACCCATCCCTATTGTGTCTGCATTAGGCACGGCCATTGCCCCTTCTGTCCGCCTGAACTGGGTATTGTTCCTCCCAGCCGGGCAGTGCCAGCCGAATGCACATGGAACCGGTGGAGCATCCCTAACCTGCAGCTAGCAGCGCCCCAGACCCAGGACCCCCAAGCTGGGACTGCCCCCCACATGGACTCTGATCCGCTGGCTCTTGGGGGAGGTGAATTAGGTACCCGCGATAGTGAGGAAACGGCAAAAACTGGTACAACACGGCTGAGATAGAGGGGCCCCAGCAGAGCTGTTGCGGGAGGGAGAACCCAGGGCTGGGATAGTGGGGGCTGCAGGTCATCCCTGGCAGAGCTTCAGGGCAGCCCTGGGCTGGGATAGCAGGGGGGCTGTGGGTCAGGGTTGAGGGGCACCAGCAGAGCTCAGGAGGTAGGGCTGGGACAGTGGGGGGGCTGCAGGTCAGGGCTGAGGGACACTGGCAGAGCTGGGGGGGCAGGGCTGGGATAGCAGGGGGGCTGCAGGTCAGGGCTGAGGGACACTGGCAGAGCTGGGGGGGCAGGGCTGGGATAGCAGGGGGGCTGTGGGTTGGGGTTGAGGGGCACCGGCGGAGCTGGGGGTTAGGGGTGGGATAGCAGTGGGTGCGCTGCCTGTGGCTTTGGGCTTTGCCTGTCGTTAGCTGGCCGGTCACCCCTCGCCCATCCACCTGGTCCCAGACACTCCAATGCCAACCCAGGCTGCATGGCCCCCCGCCCCGCAGAATGCCCTGGGACTCTGTCCCCTCCCCTTCCCACCCCCCTGTGGCCCCTGCCCCCAATGCAGCCATTGGGTAGCGGAAGGCTTGAGGGCGGCCTGGAAGGGAGCACTGCACTACCCATCCCCTGCAGCCGGCTCTAGGCTGTGCCAGGCCATCCCCCAGCCAGGGCCCCAGGCTGCCCCTCTGCCGCTGGGTCAGCGCGAAGCAGTGTGGGGTGGCGCCATGCCAGGGGCTCTGGCACGCGGGGACAGAATTAGCATCTGAATGCGGAGGAGCCAGGCCAGGCTGCTGGGCCTCCCAGCTGCTCCGAATGGCAGGTCCGGGGGTGTGGGGGGTGGGGGGGTGAGGTACCAGCCTCTTCCTCGCTGCCCGGAGGTCAGAGCTAGCCCGAGTGGCCGGAGGCGAACGTCGCTGCCCGGGGCCAGGCTTCCTCCCCCCGGTCCTAAATGATTCCCCAGCAATGGGGGGCCCTGCTCCCAGCCCCACCCCAGGGAGACCAGTTCCCAGCCTCAGCCACTCTTCCCACGGGGAAGGGTCCTGACATTCGGAGATGGGGGGCTCAGAGCCAGGACTCCTGGGTTCTCTCCCCTGCACTGGGAGGGGAATGGGATCTAGTGTGTAGAGAGAGGGGCTGGGAGTCAGGACTCCTGGGTTCTCTCCCCAGCCCTGGGAGGGGAGTGGCATCTAGTGGGTAGGGGCGGGCTGGGAGTCAGGACTCCTGGGTTCTCTCTCCAGCGCTGGGCGGGAGTGGGATCTAGTGGGTAGATAGGGGGGTCTGGGAGCCAGGACGCCTGGGTTCTAATCCCGGCTCTGCCCTGCAGACCTCTCCGCCCTCTGTCTCAGCTCCTCGCCCTTTGCAGCGCAGAGTCGCATCCCCCGACCCCCCCCGGTGAAGGCTGCTCTCCCCCGGCCAGGGCGGGGGCGGGGGGAACGGGAGGTTCCCACGTGACTAGGCACCGGGCCAGGCTCCGGGCTCCGGGCTCCTCCGGCACGTTTCTCCGCAGCCCAGCCTGGGACGCGGCCGGACGGTGAGTGCTGGGCTGAGCCCCCTGCCCGGGGCTGGTGTTCGCGGGACCTGCACGGGGGAGCCCCCGGGCGGGGATCGGGAATGTCCCGAGTGGACCTTGCGGGGGGAACGCGGCGCTGGGGTCCCGCGGGGTCCAGGCGGGCGGGGATTCGCCTGCCCCACGCGGACAAGGCGCTGGGCTCAAAGCTGGATTAAATCGGGGGGTGTCCACGGGGCCCCTCCGTCGGAGAGCAGGACCAGGGTGCTCCCACGCCTAATGCACAGGGTGTGCGTGCGCAGGAATGGGGGTCCCGGCCCCATGGGGCAGAATCACGGTGCGACCCTGGGGGGCCCAAGGGCAGCTCCCCTGCGATGCTCCCACCCGCACTTCGCTGCTTTCGGAAACGCCCTGGGAGTGCCCCCAGCCGCCACGCTGGGGGGCAAGGCGGAGGAGATGCAGGGCATGCCCCCTCCCCAGTCCCTGGCACACAGCTCCTGGGGTCCATGCACAGCTTGGGGTCTGTTCCCCACCGCCTGGCCCCTTGTGGTGTCCATGGGGCCCTGGTGTCAAGGATGGCATGAGGTGACAGGGGATGGGCCCTGGATCTCTGCCACCTGCCCCTCTCTGGGGGCAGAGCACAGACCCGCTGAGCCATCCGACCCTCCCCCAGCCTGGGCTTTCCCCCCGCCAGCCTGGATCCTAGTGTAGAGCCTGCCTGTGGGTGTAGGTCACCGGGAGTCACGCCAGCCCAAGGGCATTGGCCCCCCGAGGTACCAGTGTGACCTAGGCATATGCTCTGGGGGGTGGGGAGACAGGGCATCACTTAGTTCTGGGTCGGGTCAGGCTCCCCATGCTCCCCGTGGGGGGTCACACCCAGCCCTCACCCATCCCCCAAGCTCCGTGCTGGGTCTGTGGCTCGAGGTCTGGCTACCGAGAGCCAAAGAGGGGGAAGCCCCCTCTTCCCCTCCCACTGGTCTCACATATGCCCATAGTGACCAGTGCTCAGAGGGAGCCTGGGAACTTTCCCAGCCCTCCAGACTTGCCCCAGCCTGAGGAGGCATGAGGCTGCCCTGTTGTGCAGGGCATGGCAGGGCCGGGGTGCAGCGCTTTGGGGGTGCAGCCAGTCCAGAAGGGCTGGGGTCCAGCTCCCATTCCCCCCCGCCCCGAGCTGCCAAACGCCCTGGCTTTGTGCTGCTGCTCTGGGAAGCTGCGGACAAACGATAAGTTACAGGGTTCAGAGAGACGCCGCAGGGGGATCTCCCAGAGCGCGCTGGGGAAAGGCCGGAGCTGTGGGAGGACAAGTGATTGTTAGTGTTTGGGTGATGGAAATGTTGACCAAGATCAGGGCCCCCATTGTGCCAGGCGCCACCCACATCCTGACCGAGATCAGGGCCCTGTTGTGCCGGGCGCTGCCCAGACCCTGGCTGAGATCAGGACCCCGTCATGCCACACTCTGCCCAGACCCCGACCGAGATCAGGGATGCTTTGTGCCACACTCTGCCCAGACCCCGACCGAGATCAGGGACGCTTCGTGCCAGGCGCTGCCCAGACCCCGACCGAGATCAGGGACGCTTCGTGCCAGGCGCTGCCCAGACCCCGACCGAGATCAGGGATACTTCCTGCCTGGCGCTGCCTAGACCCCAACCAAGATCAGGGCCCCATCGTGCCACGCACTGCCCAGACCCTGGCTGAGATCAGGACCCCGTCATGCCACACTCTGCCCAGACCCCGACCAAGATCAGGGACGCTTCATGCCAGGCGCTCCCCAGAACCTGACCGAGATCAGGGACACTTCCTGCCTGGCGCTGCCTAGACCCCAACCAAGATCAGGGCCCCATCGTGCCACGCACTGCCCAGACCCTGGCTGAGATCAGGACCCCGTCATGCCACACTCTGCCCAGACCCCGACCGAGATCAGGGACGCTTCGTGCCAGGCGCTGCCCAGACCCCGACCGAGATCAGGGACGCTTCGTGCCAGGCGCTGCCCAGACCCCGATCGAGATCAGGGCCCCATCGTGCCACGCACTGCCCAGACCCCGACCGAGATCATGGATGCTTTGTGACGAACACACATGCCCTCTAGGGCTCTGCAATGATCATACACCCTTACCCCACCACCTAGATACTTAAGAACTGCAAAGGGGAAACTGAGGCACCCCCACACTATTCAGAGGAAACATTAAGAACAGTCCCGCTTCATCACATGCTTCATGCCAGGCGCTGCCCAGACCCCAACCAAGATCAGGGACGCTTCATGCCAGGCGCTGCCCAGACCCCGACTGAGTTCAGGGACGCTTCATGCCAGGCGCTGCCCAGACCCTGACCAAAATCAGGGCCCCATTGTGCCGGGCGCTGCCCAGACCCTGACCGAGATCAGGGCCCCTGTTGTTCCGGGTGCTGCCCAGACCCCGACTGAGATCAGGGCCCCCGTCACCCCGGGCGCTGCCCACACCCTGACCAAGATCAGGGCTCCATTGTGCCGGGTGCTGCGCAAACTCACAGTCAGTCCCTGCCCCATGCAGCGCGACGGGGGTGGGGTGGTAAATGGGGCATGTGGAGGGGGAGTCGTTCCCAGCTGCAGCTGCTCTCTGCGCATCCCTTGTCCTGGCCAGCCCAGCCAGCCCAAGTGACCCGGCCCCGTCTCGCCGTCAGGCTCTGGCTCCTTGGAGGATTCGCAGCCGCGCCATGAATCCCTCCAGGCCATTCTGTACAGAACGGGATCCCAGGCTGGCTCGCCCCTTGGTCCTGGCTGTCCTCCCCCCTCCCCCCCCCAGGGCCAGCTGCTGTTACTCTGCGGGAGCTTCTGTTTGCCGGGCCCAGCCCAGGCTGCAGCGGGTGTGTGTGTGTGTGTGGGGGGGGGTGATTAGAAACTAGCTGAACCCTGCAGGTGACAAAGGGGCTGTGGAGATTTTAGGTCTCGAGGGGGGGAACAAGCCCCATCCCAGACACCCCCTGCGGGCTGAGGGAAGCAGGGAGGGGAGCAGGGCCGGCTCTAGGTTTTTTGCCGCCCCAAGCAATAAATTTGCCGCCCCAAGTTCCGAGAGCGCAACTGCCCAAGCCAGAAAAGAAAGAAAACGAACCCCACCCGGAACGCCGCCCCTGGAATTGTGTCCCCCCAGCACGTGCCTTGCGTTGCTGGTGCCTGGAGCCGGGCCTGGAGGGGAGCTGTTTCAGGCTCTGCGATGGCCGGAGGGATGGACAGGCCATGAGGGCCGTGACCCAGCACCCAGCTTTGCTGCAAGAGGCCCTGGGAGGGAGGACTTGGTACCGGCTCTGCCCCCTACGTCCTGGCTCCCTCGCCCACTTGGTGCCATGGGGCTAGACCCCAGTGGGAGCAGGGCTATGGCTCCTCCAGCAGCGCCCGGCATGCCCCAGCGTCTGCCAGCCCAGCTGCGGGGAGCTGCCCCCGGGTGGGTATTTGACGGGAGTGTCTGGTATTTAACCACCTGGCCTGGGGCTGAGACACGGCCCCTCAGCTGCTCTGCAGGTGGGGGAGGGGGGCCTTTCCCTCGCCTTCCTGGGCTTTGGATCAGGCTCCCCCCTGCAGGTAAAGCTACCCCCAGACTCCAGTGCCCCTCATTTCGCACAGGGCATCAGCTGATCTGTTCCCAGCCACCTGGGAGCCAATCAGAGAGCGATGCCCAGGAGATTGAGAGGCCCACGCCCTGCTAGCCTGAGGGGGCACCAGTTGCTGCAAAGCAGCTGGGCCGGGTGAGGCTGGGCACCAATGCTGAGCGAGGAGTGGGCAGTGCCAGCCGGGGGAGCGGGGAGCCCTGCGCTGGGATTCCTGATGGCAGCGCCACCCGCAGCCCCAGACGCACTGCAGAAAGCCGGGAATCGGCAGCTCTTGCGGCTGCCGAAGGCCCAGGGCATGGAGCGGGAGTGTCCCGGCGGGAAGCAGCGCTGGGTTCACAAGTCGGTGGGTTCACGGGGGGGCGGGGTTTGCATTCCCGGTGGTCTGTGTGATGTCCAAGCGCAGGCGTGAGTGGTGGGGGAGGATGTGGCTGGGGGTGCAGGGTGTTGGGGGGCTGGGTGTGTGCGAGGTAGCACAGGGTGATCCAGGGGAGCCCCCCAATACCAGCCCCTAAGTGGAGCTCTGACCCCTTTGATCGCAGCCCCCTGGGCGCCCAGAGGCTGGTACACGGCACCAGGGCTCCTGACGTCCGTCTGCCCCTCTTTGCAGGGCTCCCCTGGGCGGCTGAGGATGCCCTGCACCCAAGCGGCCCCCCGCCACTGAGCCGCACTGCTTCAGCAGCACCCCCCGTGGCAAGCAGGGCCTGGCGAGCGCCCGCTGCTGGAGAGCCAGAGTGGGCAGGGCCGCGCCATGTAGCGCTCACGGGAGCCACCGGCATGGAGCTGATCACGGCGGAGTCCCCGGCCCGGCTGGTCCGGCTCTACCGTGAGTATCACAACAACGAGCTGATCTCGCTGCATTACAACTACACGGGGAAGCTGCAGGCCAGCAGCAAGTACAAGGGCGGCCTGAAGGCTGATGCGGTGGCGTTCCTGGCCATCTGCGCCCTCATCGTGCTGGAGAACCTGGTGGTGCTGCTGGCCATCTGGAGGAACAAGAAGTTCCACTCACCCATGTTCTACCTACTGGGCAACCTGACCCTGTCGGACCTGCTGGCCGGCCTGGCCTACACCGCCAATATCGCCATGTCGGGCGCCAACACCCTCCAGCTCACCCCACTGCTGTGGTTCCTCCGGGAGGGGGGCGTCTTCATCACGCTGGCCGCCTCCGTCTTCAGCCTGCTGGCCATCGCCATCGAGCGGCACATCACCATGAGCCGCATGAGGCTGTACCACAGCGACAAGAAGGGCCGCATGTTCCTGCTGGTGGGGGCCACCTGGGTGACTTCGGTGCTGCTGGGGGTGCTGCCCATCATGGGCTGGAACTGCCTGGACAGCCTGGCTGACTGCTCCACCGTCCTGCCGCTCTTCTCCAAGAGCTACATCCTCTTCTGCATCACCGTCTTCCTGGCCATCCTGGTGTCCATCACGGTGCTCTACGCCCGCGTCTTCCGCATGGTCAAGGGCCACAGCCCGCGGCTGGGCAGCCTGCGCAAAGGGATGCTGAAGCGCTCGCAGAAGTACATGGCCCTGCTCAAGACGGTCACCATCGTGGTGGGGACTTTTGTGGCCTGCTGGCTGCCCCTCTTCCTGCTGCTGCTGCTGGATGTGTGGTGCAAGGCTCAGGCCTGCGGTGTGCTCTACAAGGCCGACTACTTCCTCGGCTTGGCCATGATCAACTCCCTCCTCAACCCCATCATCTACACGCTGACCAGCAAGGACATGCGCCGGGCCATCCTCAAGCTGCTCTGCTGCCTGCTGGTGGGGCCAGCCGAGGACGGCCCGGCCCAGCGCTTCGGGATCCCCATCCTGGAGTGCAGCACCAGCAAGTCAGAGCGCTCGTCCCACCGGCCTGAGGGGCTCGAGACCAGCCTGTCCACGGGCAACGGGACGCCCACCCCCGTCAAGGTGCTGGTGCCCAGTGCCGGGGACTGAGCCCTCTGCCCCCCACCGGGGTAGGAGCGCGGCATGGGCCGGGGGAAGAGCTGGGACAGGCACCCCCTGAGACTTGGAATGGCTGGAGCCCTGGCTGCCTGGGAGGCGAGGGACCCCCGCAGGGAGCCAAGTGTGCCCACCAGAGGGCCGCAGCCCAGGGGTGCCCCCTGCTGGCCTGGTCTGTACGAAGCTCGTTGCTGGTCCGGGCAGCATATCTGTACGGCGCACAGTGTTAACACCTGCGGGCCCAAATCGGCTCAGACAAGCTGCCATAGGGCGACCAGACGTCCTGATTTTATAGGGACAGTCCTGGTTTTTTGGGTCTTTTTCTCATATAGGCTCCTATTACCTCCCACCCCCTGTCCTGGTTTTTCACGCTTGCTGTCTGGTCACCCTAAGCTGCCATCCCCCCACAAGTGATCCAGTACACCCCCCCGGTGCAGAGCCCATCCCAGACCTTGTGCCCCATGCGGCCCCCCCCCGTGGCCAGCACAGACCAGATTACAACCCCTGTGCCCCCTCCCAGAGGCTCAGCACAGCCCACTTCCCACTCCGGTGACCCAGTACCCTAGATCCCCCCATCCCCAGCACAGACTGGCCCCCCATGCGCTGCGTGGGGGCTCTCTGGACAGGTCCTGCGCTCCCCTCACTCGTGGTAAATTAAGGCCTCTAGGGGCGCCTTGTTGATTTTTTTAACAGTTTGTAATAAAAAGCTTCCTTGGAGCTCCCTGTCCTGTCCTGCCCCCCTTAACCCCTTCCCTGCCGGCACTTCCTGTGTGGGCAGAGCCACGGCACCAGGTCCCCGGGGGGCAGCTGTGAATTGGTTTCTGTTGCGGGGGGGGAGGGTACGACGATTTGGGGCACCCCAGTGTGGGGGTAGGGGCACTAGGTATCCAGTGTGGGGGTGAGCTCAGTGTGCTGGGTCTCAGTGGGCTGCATCTGAATGGGGCCCGGAGGCCAAGTCACCCCATGGAGCAGCTGAGCATGGCGGGGGGAAGAAGGGGGAATTGCCCAGGCAGTGACCCTGGCATGGTCGGCACAGGGGTGGGGGGCAGCCGAGGCAGGACACAATGCCGTTTCCTCAGGAAACCATCTCTCCTTGCGTGCTCTGCTTTGGAGATGGAACCTGGTGCTCCATGCTGTATCCCGACCTTGCCACAGCTGGGGGCTGTGGGGAAAGGCTCCCCATGGCTCCCCAGCGGCATGTGTTTCTAGGCCCCTGAGGGAGTCTTGGATCGGGGAGGAGAGCCCCCATGTGTGGGGTGGGAACCCCTTGCACTTGTGTCCTTCCACCCCCCGGGATCAGCCCCAGAGGCTGCTCCTGCCCCTCTCGGGGATCCCAGGGAGGCTTCTGGGCAGCAGGGGTCCTCTAAACCCCAGGGCAGATGGGGTGAGGCAGGGACACAGCTCAGCCCGACCCAGCCGCTGCCTGGGACTCGCCCTGTGTGCTGCCCGGCTCCCAGGCCGTTCCCAGGTGCCCAGGGCTGCCCCTTGGCCAGGGTGGACCCAGGGCTCAAACACCTTCCTTGGGCAGCAGGACGGAGGGGCTGCGGATCGGGGTGAGGGGCAGTGGCTGAGCTGAGGGGGGCGGGCTGGGATAGCAGGGGGCTGCAGGTCTGGACTGAGAGCCACTGGCAGAGTGGAGGAGTGGGGGGAGCCCGGTGGGGGCAGCAGTCTGAGTGGACTCTCCCCCCCGCCCCATCTCTCTGGCCCAAAAGTGTCCCCCAGTCTCCCGTGCCCGGGCTCTCTGAGCTGGAGCAGGGCTCTGAGCGCCCTCTGGTGGCCAGCTGGGGAACAGCACCAAGGCGGAGCCCTGTGGTCAGAGGGGTGGGGGTCACTCACTTCCCAGCTGCCCCCTCGGGGGGGGGGTGTGTGTGAAATGCAGCGAATGGCGGGTGACAGAGGTTTCGCTCCAAGGATCCTGGCCTCTGCCCTTCGATGTGCGTTATATGATGGTGCCCCAGGGCAGCACGAGGGGGCGCTGTGCTGCAGGGGGTGGGCAGAGGCTCAGCAGGGGGTGCTTCCCCCCTGCCCCGAATCAATATTGATCCCACTGCATCTGCCCTTTCAGCTGGATACCTTTAGCCCAGGCCCCTGATAAGGAGGCCGGGGTCCCCACACCCCACTTGGCCCCTGGACAGGCAGGGCCAGGTGCTGCAGTGTAATGGGACTATTTTTTAAATCCTGCTTCCATCCTGTCCTGCGATACCTGCCCCTGGTCGCGCCCACGTTGTTTCTTGCAGCGTTATCCCACTCGCACCCGCAATCACTTTAGATCCTGCTTCAGAGCAGCCGCCGTGTGAGTCTGTATCCGCCTACAGAACAGGAGGCCTTGTGGCACCTTAGAGACTAACCAATTTATTTGAGCAGAAGCTTTCATGAGCTCCAGCTTCATCAGTGACGGAATGCATCCAGTGAAGTGAACGGTAGCTCACGAAAGCTTCTGCTCACATAAATTGGTTAGTTTCTAAGGTGCCACAAGGCCTCCTGTTCTTCTTAGATCCCACGAATCCCATGAGAGAGCCAGATTCCCCAGGCTACTTCCAAACCGATCCCACTCGGGTGATATATACTCGGAATTCAGGCACCATTTTTACCACAAGAATAAAACAAATTGTGCTGAAACCATGTAAAAAAAAAAAAAAAGACTTTAACTCCTGTCATAACAGACATCAAATCTCCTCCTGTCCCTCGCTTAAATGTACATCTTCAACCCTTATTTAAAGGGAGGGAAAGAACAGCTTGCTCCACGTTGCTGAAATCCTATTACGGACAAACTGACGAGCGATTGCAGGTTTCCCCACAGTCTGGGGCTTTTTGCCCATCCCATCCCACCTGCAACAAGGAACATGCTTCCTGCTCCCGCTATTATGGCGGCGCGTCCTTTGGGATCCCAGTCCTGCTGGGGGCCGTGCCCTGGCATTGGCAGAGTTACCAGCAGGCACCCACGGGGCGAGCACGGGCACCTGGGCTGGTGACGGCTGGGTCGCTCCTGAGAGCCGGCAGGGAGGCAGCGGCTGGAACCCCATTATTCCTGGGCCTCCAGGCCCGAGGGGAGCAGCTGCTGTGGCCCAACTGGGGGCCAGGTCAGGTGGTCGCGGAGTGCTGCCACCCTCGGTGTCCCTGGGGATTAGCTGAGGTGGGGTGACCTGGAGGGGGGGGCCTGGGGTGGTTTTGAGGCCCCTGGTAATTTCTAGCACATCACTCAGAACCCCTGCTCTAACCACTAGCCCCCACTCCCCTCCCAGAGCCAGGGTAGAACCCAGGCGTCCTGGCTCCCAGCCCCCCCCCACTGTAACCATTAGACCCTACTCCCTTCCCAGAGCTGGGGAGAGAACCCAGGAGTCCTGGCTCCCAGCCCCCTGCTCTAACCACTAGCCCCCACTCCCCTCCCAGAGCCAGGGTAGAACCCAGGCGTCCTGGCTCCCAGCCCCCCCCCTCCCCGAGCTCGGATAGAACCCAGGAGTCCAGGCTCCCTTTCTACCCACGAGGCCCCGCTCCCTGGGCAGAGCCAGGGCGCAGCTGGAGTCTGCGGAGCCCAGCCGCGGGTGCTGCCTGCAGTGCAGGCTCCTGGCGCCAGGTGGCGCGCTCCGGCATTGATTCCCGTGTCGACCGCCTGGCCCAGCAGAAGCTAAAATGACATTTTGGGGGGCGAGGGGGGCCCGAGCTCCCTATCGGCTGCACCAGGAACAACCGGCTGCAGCCTCCAGCCCCGGCCCAGCCCTGAACCTGCCCCCAGCCCTGAGCGCGGCTCCTTAACTTCCAGCCCTTCCAGCACATGGAAGTGGGGGGTAAATCCCAGGGACTCCCCCATCACCCTTCGCTTCCCACATCCTTGCCCAGCTCCCCACTGTGGGATCACAGGGCACTGACCCTGTCCAGACAGGGAGAGAGCGGGGCGGCCTCGCCCACCCTGCTCCAACCACTAGATCCCACTCCTCTCCCAGAGCTGGGGAGAGAACCCAGGAGTCCAGGCCCCCAGCCCCCTCCCCCCCACTCTAACCATTAGACCCTACTCCCTTCCCAGAGCTGGGGAGAGAACCCAGGAGTCCAGGCTCCCAGCCCCACCCCCCCCAAGCATTAGACCCTACTCCCTTCCCAGAGCTGGGGAGAGAACCCAGGAGTCCTGGCTCCCAGGCCTCTCCTCCCCCTTTAACCACTAGACCCCATTCCCCTTCCAGAGTTGGGGGGGGGGAGTGGGGTCGAATGGGTTAGAACAGGGGGAGGAGGGTTGGAGCCAGGACTCCTGGGTTCTCTCCCCAGCTCTGGGAGGAGAATGGGGTCCAATGGGTTAGAACATGGGGAGGGGGTTGGGAGCCAAGACTCCTGGGTTCTATCCCCAGTGCTGTGACCTCGAAGCATCACGTCCTCTTGAGTGAAAATCCACCTGTTTCAAATGCCCCAGGGTTCAGTCCTGATTCCAAAGTTGCTGCCCCCCAAGTGTGGGGCACTAGGCTTAGCGGGGAAAACGCGGCCCAGAGCAGCGCCTGTCACACGAACTGTGGTAGAGCCCTGCACGGATACAAGATTTGTATCTGCAGCCGATCTGTGATCCGCAAACATGGTCGGAGGAGATTGGCGGCTTGCGGGGCTCTGAACCAGGGCACCAGGTATCTAGGCAGGGAGTGTGGGAAGTGTCTGGCACCAGCAATCCCCTGCTAGCCTCAGCCAATCGTGGCTGGACATGGCTCCTGCTGCCACTGCACCTGGGTCACCCGGAGGGGGTCGCGGTCACACCGGAGCTCTGTGTACACTGCAGCTGCCAGTGAGATGCAGCCACCTCTGGGGTGGGGCGTGGAGGCTGTTTATACAGGGATCCCTCGCCGTGGGTGCACTGAGGGCCTGACCTGGGGCCCCGACCTCTCTCCAAAGAGGGCCAGGCGAGCCCAGCAGGAAGCAGGGAAATGAGTCGCGGTGCAGGAGGGGGCTGGTCTTGTCCCAGTGACCCGGGAGTTGCTCCCCTGCAGCACAGGACGGGGCCCAAGGCTGGAAGAAGGGGCCCAGCGGGGTGGGTGGCTCACGGCACCCACAGCCCTGGCACCGCAGGTAACGAGTCAGGCCCGTCTGCACTACAAAGGGCTTTTAGACCCTCCGTGGCAGGGTTGGTGCGGGGGGATCCTGGCTGCTCCCCCTTTGCTCCCCCCGACTTTCACGTTCAGAGTCACATGACCACCAGCGCTCGGGGGCAGGGCAGGTTCCATGAAGTCCATCCGCCTCCATTCTGCGGGCCCATTAAAATCCTCCTGCTCTGCACTGAGGGGAGGGGGCTGTAAAACAGACCCTCCATTGCAGGCCGGGGCACCCCCAGATTACCCCCCATGGGATCTCAGGCTCCGTGGCCCATTTGGCCCTCAGCGGAGCGAACTGGTGCCCACTGTGCTGGACGTGCCACGAACAGGACTGAGACCCTGCAAACTCCTTTCATGTGGGCTCCAGACAGGAGCAAAGGCCAGTCGCTGCTCCCCAGGGCAAGAGCTGAACCAGCAACCTAAGGGGAAAGGCCCCATCCTCCCGCCCTGGGGACAGGCCCCATGGCCCATTCCCTGCCCCCCTGCGCCAGCCAGTCCCTGCTCTGGGGCTGGATGGGAGCCGGCGCCCCCTAGAGGGGATGGGCCCCATGCCCCATTGCCCGTTAATTTGAGCCCCTCCAGTGAAAGGGCCTAGAGGGGGGTAGAGCAGGGGATCTTGGGAGCGCTTGGCTGCAGGGCCACATTCCCTGTCCGGGTACAAAGTCCCCCTTCCAGGTGCATCTCCCCAGGAGGGCAAAGGGCAGCGACATCCGCACCCAGTCGTCTTCCTATTTCATAGCAACCGGAGCTGCGTAGGCCCTGCCCCGGACAGCTCTGGGGGGCCCTGCTAATGGGGATACAAGCGACACCCGCCCCCCAAAACGGAGGGGGAAGGGACGTGCGGGAAAGGCAGAGAGAGGGGGACCCATACCCCGGCCCTTTACTGCTCCCAACCTCCCCTCCCCAGCCTGCCCCCCGCCCTGTGCTCCTAATCTTCACCTCAGTACCCCCCGCCCCACAGCCCCCCAATTCAGCCCCTCTCTCCGCCCGTGCTCAGCGTCCCCCCGGCCCCCCAGCTCCTGAGCTCAGCGCGCCTCGGAGCGGATGCGCCGCTTCCCCGCCGCGTTCTCGAACCCGAAGGCCGGGGCCGCCGCGTTCCATCCGGCCGGGGGGGAAGCCGGGGACTCTTATTCTGACAGCGGCCGGGCTCTGCTTAGTCATGGTGACTCCCCCCCCCGCCACTCCTCCCCCCCCCAGCCCCAGCCTGCGCCATGGAGGAGCTGAGCCGGGACCGGCCGGGACGAACGGGCGGACCAGGAGGGCAGTGGCCGGGGCCATGGCTGGGTTAGTGGCCCCCCCCGCCCGGCGAGAGGGATCCCCTCTTCCCCGCTCCCCCCGGGCTCATGGGGATCCCCCCAGCCGGGCTCCGGGGCAGGGGATCAGCTTCCCCCCCAGGCTGGAGAGGGGGAATCCCCCCCAGGCTGCACAAGGATCGCCCAGCCCTCCCCCCACTAGCCTGGGCTCCCCCCGGAAATCCCAGGGACCCCCGTGAACTGTGGGGATAAGACCCCTAAATCCTGAGAAGGGGGAGCGGGGGCCTGAGATGCATTTTGGGGGGGTCCATTGAGTTGGGAGCGGGGGAAGGAGAAACGTGGGGGGGTCGCGACCGAACCCCCCCTCCCGGGGGACCAGGGGGCGCTTTGTCTCGGTAGCTTTAACCAGCTGTTTGTCTGGGGGGGGTTGGGGTGCAATGGACCGGAGGGGGAGGGGCTGAATGTAGCTCTCACGGGGTGGTGGCGAATGAAGGTCCCTAGATTGGGGGGGGGGATCCCCCAGGCTACCGCTCCACGGGCCCCCAAGAGCCTTCGGGTTCCCAGCGAGGGGGGAGGGTCTGGATGCGGGGGGATTATTCCTGTATTTGGGGTTAACCCCCCCCAGATCCGGTGGCCGAAATAGCTACGTGTGAGCCGAGCTGGGGGAAGGGCCCGATTCGGTGGCTCAGCCCTGCCCCCGGTGCAGGGACCTTGTTTACAACCCCCATGCCCAGCTCCCTAGGCAGGTCCGGGGGGGGTGGGGGGGCTGTCCACGCGGGGAGGGGGGTGGCGGCGTGGCCTGGTTAATATTTTCCATTTCTGGCTGCATCAGTGAAATTGCAACACGTTGCCTTGGTGGCTGGGGCTCCCCGCCTCACACGCTGCTCCCCCCCCCCCCGAATTTCCCAGGCCTTGGTGGGTGCAGGCTGGATAATGCACCGGGGGGGTTGGGGGGTTTGTCCTGGGAGCACGTTGCGGGGCACAGTCTAGCAGGGAGGGGGATAAGGAGTCAGGATTTCTGGGGGATGGGAGCCAGGACTCCTGGGTTCCAACTATGGCCCTGGCAAGGGGCTGGGGCCTAGTGAGTTAGAGGATGGGGGACTGGGATTCAGGACTCCTGGGAGAGCTGGGGCCTAGTGGGATATGCGGGGGACTGGGATTCAGGACTCCTGGGTTCCAGCCCTGGCCCAGGGAGGGAGCTGGGACCTAGTGGGTTAGAGCAGGGGGTGCTGGGAGTCAGAACTCTCGAGTTTTATTCCTGGCTCTGCCCCTGACTTGTAACTTTGGGCAAACTCCTGTCTCGCTCTGTGCCTCAGTTTTCCCATCTATAAAATGGGGGTCATGGTACTGTGCAAGTTAGTGTGTGACTGGGGAACAGGGCCCTGCACTGCCTGCTGCCCCCTGCTGGCTGGCATCCAAATGGCTCTGCTGTGTCATGGGCCCCACACTGCTACCACCTAATGGAGATTTATCTTTGCTGAAGCAGGAGAGGCCTGGTCTCTCCCTGCTGCCCCCCAGCTGTGCCAAGCGCCTGTGCTGGATGCTCCCCTGGTTTGTGAGCCATGCTGGGCCTCCAGGACAGCAGAGGCTGAGTGGGGTGGACGGGATCCACTTTCCTATCAGAACTCTGACGCGGGTTTTCTGTATTGCTCACTTCCCTCCCCTGTGGAGAGCCACACACAAATCAGAATCTAATTGACACCAGGAGCCCGGGGTGACCTAGTGGTTAGGACACTGGACTGGGACTCAGGACACCTGGGTTCCATCCCCAGATCTGCCATTGGCCTGCTGGATGAACTTGGGAAGTCACGTCCCCTCTCTGTGTCTCAGTTTACCCTCTCACCTGGTGTCTGTCAATACTGTGAGCTCTTTGGGGCAGGGACTGTCACTCGCTTGCGGCCTGGGCAGCGCCTGGCACAATGGGGCCCTGGTCTCAGCTGGGGTCTCCAGGTGCTACCATGATGCACAGACTAACAAAGGTTAGCTGAGATGGGGAAATTCTGCCTTCTGGCCTGGGCTCCAAACCCAAGCGCGCTGCCAATGGGCACTGGACAGATCTGGTGCCGGGGGATGCGACGGAGAGAGACCTTGCGAGCAGAAATGATCCTTGTGAGTCAGTGAGGGGGATGCTCAGCCTGTTTGGAGGTGGGCATCATTTATTAGGTGTATTATGGTAGCTCCCAGGTGCCCTCCCAGCCATGGCCCAGGCCCCATGGCATTAGGCGCTGTATGTTATTAGGTGTATTATGGTAGCTCCCAAGTCCCATGGCGTTAGGCGCTGTACGTTATTAGGTGTATTACGGTAGCTCCCAGGCCCCATGGTGCTAGGCGCTGTATGTTATTAGGTGTATTACTGTAGCTCCCAGTCCCTCCCAGGCCCCATGGGGCTAGGCACGGCCCACCCGATCTGAGTCTAAGCCAAGCAATAGGGGGGCTGGTGTGTGAGTGGGGGGGGGTTGGTCTGTCTGTCTGCAGTTACCTGTATTAACTGCAGCCTCCCCACCTCCGATCCAGCCCCAAACAACCCCCTGTGTTAGCGCTCGGGGCAGGTCCCCTCTAGGCAGTGACTGCTTCAGTGTGAACACACACACCCCTGCTGGGGGGGCCAATCAGCGGGGCTGGCTTTGGGGTCCAGCATCTGTGTTTATAGCCCGGCTAGTGGAGAATGAGCCGGGTTTGCTTCCAGTCAGTTACAGCTGCACAGAGCTGTGGGGGGTGGGGGCGGTGGGGGGGATGCTGCTGATAACAGTGGGACTGCATGGGGCTGTATGGGGAGGGGGTGGTCTCCAGGGCTGCATGGGGGGCTTGCTGGGGGCAGGGGGGCTGCATAAGGGGCTGCTGGGGGTGAGCTTTGGCCCTGCAGACCCTTTTCTTAACCCTGCTGAATTGTTGCCCGGCTGTGCCAGGCGCCCGTGGCCCAGACCTCGCCCTGCGACTGAGCTGGGCCCTCGTTAGCGGTGATTCCTCCTCGTTCATGCTCAGACCCACCACCACCAAACCAGCTCCCAAGAGGGAGCTTGGGGGCCCCTCTGGCCTGGCCCGCTGGGGGGCTGCGGCTGGCCATGCAGGGGGCTCCCTAGAACCATTGGGGATCAGGCTTCTGCTTGCCGGGGGTGGAGAGAGCCCCTTGGTCCAAGCCGGGGTGGAAGGTGGGGCAAGGCCTGGCTGCAGTCCCCGGGCGGAGGGGTGGGGGCTGGTGGCCCCGTCTAACCCGGTGTCTCCCTTCCCCTGCAGGTGTGGCGTTGCTGTACTGCCCCAGGGCTCAGTAAGGCTCCAGACAGTGTAGCCCCCCCCCGCCCCCAGCTCAGTTGCCCCCTGCGATGTGCCCCCGCCGGCCTCGGTGATGTACGCGCCGGAGTGCAAGGCGGAGGTGACGCCGTCTCACCACGGGCATCGCTCGTTCAGCTACACCCTGGAGGAACACACCAAGCAGGCCTTCGGCATCATGAACCAGCTACGGCTGAGCCAGCAGCTGTGTGACGTCACCCTGCGGGTGCGCTACCAGGACGCCCCCCCGGCCGACTTCCAGGCCCACAAGGTGGTGCTGGCCTCCTCCAGCCCCGTCTTCAAGGCCATGTTCACCACGGGGCTGCGGGAGCAGGCCATGGAGGTGGTGCCCATCGAGGGCATCCACCCCAAGGTGATGGAGCGGCTCATCGAGTTCGCCTACACGGCCTCCATCTCGGTGGGCGAGAAGTGCGTGGTGCACGTCATGAACGGCGCCGTCATGTACCAGATCGACAGCGTGGTCAAGGCCTGCTGCGACTTCCTGGTGCAGCAGCTGGACCCCAGCAACGCCATCGGCATCGCCAACTTCGCTGAGCAGATCGGCTGCACCGAGCTGCACCAGCGGGCCCGCGAGTACATCTACATGAACTTTGGGGAGGTGAGCGGGGCGGGGCGGGGCCACGAGGGGCTGTGGGATGGGGGGCGTCATAGATCGACAGCTCAGAGCTACGCCCCGGCTTCCAGCCGTCCCAGGCAGGAGCCCCTCGGTGTGCCAGAGCCCCCAGGGGACCTGCTCTTCCTGCAGGCCTGGCCACGCGGCCCCACAGCCTCCGAGGCTGAGCCTCTGGGCCCTAGCCCTCCTGCTGCCCGCCGTGAGCTGTGCCCGGCGGGTCTGGCTGAGCCAGATGCCTGGGCACAGACCTGGCCCCTCTGTCGGGACCAGCGCGGCTCAGCCAGGGCTGGCAGCGACCCCCAGCCGCGGCCCCCAAGCAGCGACGGGCTCGTTAGCCCCCGGCCTGGGAAGGCCCCAGGTTGGCGCAGAGCAGCGAAGGATCAGACACATGGTCCGTGCGGCCGAGCCAGGGCTCCGCCCGGCCAAGCCACCGTGGGGTTCGTCTGGGCTGGATCTCCGACTCTGTCAGTCCTGGTGAGAGCTGCTGAGCCCCTCTGCGGGCCCATCCCCACGACACCTCCCGGGCCATCGTCCCGGCTCTGCGGAGCCCGGCCCAGGGATTCAGCCCAGTCCTCCAGACTGGGTGCCTGGAGCGGCGATTTAACCCCTCGGTAACCCGTGTCCCAAGCCGAGTCCCTGCCCGGCCTATCAGAATAGCAGACAATTCCCACTTGGCCTCCTCCTCTCTTCCCCTTGGAGGCAGCATGGAGCCGGGTCCCAACCAGGCAAGTTCTGCATTTCCCATCGCCCGGCCTGCCCCGCCCACCTGGGTCTGTAGCCCGGTTCCGAGCAGCGTCACGTCCTCTCTGGGGCCTGGGCCCGTAGGTGACACCAGCAGGGTGTGCGGGGAGTTCTCCTGCAGCCTGCTCTTGCCACCCCAAAACCTTTGGGTTTGAAACTGGGCTGGGGTCCTGCCAACCCCCCACCTTCCGTCAGCCCCCTCGGCTGCAGCCCAGGGCCCCTGACCAAGCCTCTCTCGCCGTAAAGCAGCCTCCCAGCTGCTTTACGCTTCCCTTGGCGCCGGGCAGGGCAAAGCTGCCTGGCCTTCCCCCTGCCCTGCTTGGGTCTCGGCCATCCCGGGCTCAGCTCGGCCCCTGCTGGCCCAGGGCGGGCAGGCCGGGTACTGGCTGCCTTGGTCCCAGTACCCAGCATCAGGGAGGGTCCGCCAGAGCGGGCGTGACTCATCTCCCCGCGGAGCTGGGTGGGGGCCACCCCTCATCCCGCCCCACTGCACGTAGCTGCTTGCTGAACGGCCTTTCCCTCGCTCTCCCACCCTGCCAGCCAAGCTATTTGTATTTTGGCTGGCACCTCCCGTCTGAGCTTCTCGCTCCCTGGCAGGGCTTGGCCCAGCCTTCGGCTCTGCCAGGGAGAGCGACTCCGTGGCGCTGAGATGGTGGGGAACCCCCCCACCCAACCCCCCAGCTCTGCCCGGTGTCTGCCCAGCAAGCGGAGCCGGAGGTGGGGCAAATGGCTTCAGGTGCGAATCCTGCCCCGGGTCTCAGCCCTTCGGCCTCCGACGGGCTTTGCAAGGGATCTCTCTGTCCCAGAATCTACCCTCCCCCCACTGGCCACCCCCATCTGCTCCAGAAGAGTCGAGCCCAGGAGCGTTCAGCAAGACTGAGCCCCAGTGCCCAGGCTGGGAGCCCGTCGGCCAGCACCCCTGGTGCCCTGTGGTGCCGGCTGTGTGGCCACTTTGCTCCAAACACTCGGTTCCTGGGGGTGCCGGACACACCCCTGTTCTCATGCCTTGGGCCCCCTGCCCACGTACCCTCCATTGTCCTACAAGTGCTGTCCTGTGGGTCAGGGGTGCTGCTCCCCCTGTTGGGTTTATCTGAATCTCACTGCTGGGGCGCTTCCCCTGGCTCAGGCCCCAGGCTTAGGCCAGTGCCCTTGGGGGCTCTTCATCCCTGGACCTACGCCCGCCTCCCCTGTGGAGCTCCGTCGGCAGAGGGTTGGGGGGCACTCGGAATGTCCCCTCGCCCTCAGGATCCAGCCCTAGCTGAGCGAGGGCGGGGGCTGCAGTGGGGCCTGGGCCTGCCGGGGCGGGGGGGTGCAGGGGCGGAGCTGAGTTGGGGCGGGCCTGCCCCCCCACTGCTGCCAAGGGGCCCATGTGGAGGCAGAGCAGACGCCCCAGCTGACCCCTTGACTTGGGTCCTTGGCACCAGCTGCCTCCATGAGCCCCCCAGCCCTGTTATTGCAGGGTCCCTCTGAGCTGGGCTCGGTCTTGACCCTGCTCCCGTGCGCGTGACAGCAGCACCCTCTAGCGGCTGCAGCGGCTGCAGCCTGCAAGCAGTTGTGGCTCACAGCCAACCCCCAGGCTCACCCCGTGCCCCCCCAGATCCCCACACTCACCCCCTGTCACGGCCTCTCCCCCCTGCAGGTGGTCAAGCAGGAGGAGTTCTTCAACCTCTCGCACTGCCAGCTGGTGACGCTGATCAGCCGGGACGAGCTGAACGTGCGCTGTGAGTCCGAGGTCTTCCACGCCTGCATCAACTGGGTGAAGTACGACTGCGCCGGGCGGCGGCTCTACGTGCAGGCCCTGCTGCAGGCCGTGCGGTGCCACTCTCTCACCCCCCACTTCCTGCAGACCCAGCTGCAGAAGTGCGAGATCCTGCAGTCGGACGCACGCTGCAAGGACTACCTGGCCCAGATCTTCCAGGAGCTCACCCTGCACAAGCCCACCAAGGGCATGGCCACGCGCGCCCCCAAGGTGGGCCAGCTGATCTACACGGCCGGCGGCTACTTCCGCCAGTCGCTCAGCTACCTGGAGGCCTACAACCCCTGCGACGGCTCCTGGCTCCGGCTGGCGGACCTGCAGGTGCCCCGCAGCGGGCTGGCCGGCTGCGTGGTCGGGGGGCTCCTCTACGCCGTGGGGGGGCGGAACAACTCGCCCGATGGCAACATGGACTCCAACGCCATCGACTGCTACAACCCCATGACCAACCAGTGGTCGCCCTGCGCCCCCATGAGTGTGCCCCGCAACCGCATCGGCGTGGGCGTGATCGACGGCATGATCTACGCCGTGGGCGGCTCACATGGCTGCATCCACCACAACAGTGTGGAGAGGTGAGGCGGCCCCCGCCTGCCCTGTGGAGACGGAAGCAGGCCCTGGGATGGGCCCCAGCAGTCCCGGGCCCCCCACAAGCCAGTGACACAGCCCAGGATTGGGGCCCAGGAGTCCTGGGCCCCATGAACCAGGGGCGGGACCCAGGAGTCCTGGCTCTGGATTTCACGCTGCTGCAGTTAGAGGGCGGTTGGGCCCAAGGTGCCTCGTGAGAGTTCCTGCCCCGCCACGCTCACAGCCAGCCTAGCCAAAGGCTGGCTGAGGACCAGAGGCACCGAGAGGGGAAGGGACTTGCCCAGGGTTTCCCCCCAGGGCAGTGGCATGGCCTCCCTGGGTGCCACTCCAGCACCCTGTGCTGCCTCGCCTGTCCCCTTGGCTTGGGCTCGGGAGCAGGGAGCTCTGCCCGGTGCCCCTGGTTCCGTGCCGCTCCCCGTGCAACCCCTCCGGCCGGTTGCCTCCGCTGGTGTCCGACGTTGCCCTCTGGCCCCCAGGTATGAGCCGGAACGGGACGAGTGGCAGCTAGTGGCACCCATGCTGACACGGAGGATCGGCGTGGGGGTGGCCGTGCTGAACCGTCTCCTCTACGCCGTGGGCGGCTTTGACGGCACCAGCCGGCTCAGCTCGGCCGAGTGCTACTACCCGGAGCGGGACGAGTGGCGCATGATCGCCCCCATGCAGACCATCCGGAGCGGAGCGGGTAAGCGAGGGGCCAGGGCCTTCCTGCTGGCCGTGTGAGGATGAGCAGGGTGTGCGCTGCCTTTGCCCCAGGCAGGCCTTGGCGCTGGGGGGCTGGGCTGCAGCCAGCTGGGGAAGGGCTCTCCCTGGGCCTGGCAGCCCTGCAGGGGGTGGGGAGGCATCGCAGGGACCCAGAGCTGGGCCTAAATCAGCTGCTGCTGCCCGTGCAGATTAAGGGGGATTGCCGTGCACGCTCCCCCCGCCCACCCTGCTGCTCCATGTTCCCACAGGTGTCTGTGCTCTCAACAACTGCATCTACGCCATGGGGGGCTATGATGGCACGGACCAGCTCAACAGCGTGGAGTGCTACGACGTGGAGACAGACAGCTGGGCCTTTGCCGCCCCCATGGGGCACCGGCGCAGTGCGCTGGGCGTCACCGTGCACCAGGGCAAGATCTACGTGCTGGGTGAGTGCTGGGGGGCTGGCCAGCTTCCTCCCACTGCAGGGCAGGAGCGGGGCAGAGACCTGGGCTGGTCCTGCCTCCGGCGCCCACAAGCGTGCACGGCCCACGCCTGCTCCTGGCTCCTGCTGGTGCAGTGGCAGGGCTCGGCTCAGCCCACAGACCCAGTTTAAGCTGTTCGTAGCTGACGGGGGGGCAGGGCCCAAGCCCTCCCCAGCGGGGCAGCAGGCAGCCGAGTGCTGGTAACAGCCACTCTCTCCTCCGCAGGCGGCTACGACGGGCACACCTTCCTGGACAGCGTGGAGTGCTACGACCCCACCAGCGACACGTGGACGGAGGTGACGTGCATGACGTCCGGGCGCAGCGGGGTGGGGGTGGCCATCACCATGGAGCCGTGCCGCAAGCAGGTGGACCAGCTTGACTGCTGCTGGGACGGCCCCCCTCCAGCACAGGGGTCAGTGTTAACCAGCTGGGCCAGGGAGCCCCCTGCTGCTCCCATTCTGCAGGGGGGAGCGTTTTTCCAAGTGCCAAGGGGGGTGGGGGCAGGGAAGTCCTGCCCCCCTCCCAGCAACAACCCCTCCCTCCCCACGCAGCCCCGTGGACCTGGCTCCCCGCCTGCCCTTTAGTTGGGAGATGGGAATGTGGGGTCTTCCCAGCTGCCTCTCGTCTCCCTGATTCCTTCCCCTCCCTCCTCGGGAGGAGCCTCTGTGCGGGGGGGCCAAGACGCAGGAGTTGCCCTCTGCACCGCGCCGGGGATCTGCCTCCTGGGCTCGGCCACTCAGCTCTCCTGGCCACAGCGGCTGTACCAGGCCCAGACGTTTTCTGGTGGCTGGAGAGAAACATTCCCCTGTGGGACATGGGGCAGTTCTTCCCCAGGGCTCTGGGGCAGCCAGGCTGCAGCTGGAGGAAACGGGCGAGCAGCCCCAGCTGCAGTTACCGACTAGCCGAGTGACGTTACCATGCCTGACTTGCCTGGTGTCTCGTCTCACCAGTCACGCTCCAGCCCAAGCTGGGAGATTGGTTTTAATAATTTCAAACGCTGATTGTTACATTAATAAAAAATCCCTTTGTGATTAGCCCCTGGGTCCGTCCTTACTCGTGCTGGTCGAGGCACGAGCCAGCTTTTAGTTGCTCCCGCCATCCAGTGTCCATCCGATCAGTGAGGCTGGCCTGGGGCAGGGTCACCAGGCCGTGTCCACCAGGCTCCACAGGTAGTCACTGACGAAGCACTTGGAGTGCTGGCTGCTGTCGATGTTGATGGGCTGAGCAATGGCTGGGCCATGATGGACTGGGGGGAGGCGGTTAAGGAAACTGACACACGGGTGGTAGCCAGGCAGGTGTCCCCTCCCCCCCTGAAAGGACACTGCCTTTGATCTGGGGGTGTCTGTCCCCCCCTGAAAGGATACTGCCTTTGATCTGGGGGTGCTGACACTCGTAGTCCCAGTCCAGCCGGCTGATCTTGTAATAAAGCTGTGCGATGTACCTGGGGGATGCTGCTGTTAGACCTGGCCCTGCCTGCACGACCCCAGCCAGGTCGCGCAGAGCAAACTCACAGGCTGGATCCCCTTTGTTGGGGCTCAGACCCCTCTAGCAACATGGTGGGGGAGCCAGGCCCCTGAAGGGAGGCTCCATGTGGCTTTTAAGGGACCCCGCAGAGCCCGAGCATGGTGTTCCAGCCCTTTAGCCCCTGTCCCAGCAGCTGGGAGCCAGCAGCGTGGATCAGAGCGCAGGCTGGGCCGGGTGGCACGTGCAGGGCACCGGCATTCCCCTCCCCGCACTCACATTGCAGAATTGACCATGCCAGTGTCGTCCTCCATGTCGTCCTGCAGTCGCCCGAGCTCGGCCCTCAGCTCCTCCAGCTCCCTCCGCAAGGCAGTATGGCAGGTGGTGAAGGAACCGTGGCTCTGGCTGGTTCCCCTCCCTGCCCTCCAAACCAGCTGGCATTCCACGCACCAGGCTAGTCCCAGCCCCCCACCCCACCCCACCCCCCGACGCTGTCCCAGCCCATGACCTGCTGCTGCCCGCCCACCCACCCTGGGAGATGCACGGGCCTAGGTCTGAGCCTCAGGGTTCACCCAGGGGTGCACTGGACCTGCAAAGCACTGGGCAGTTAGCTACAGGCAACAGCCGAGCGAGCTGGTGCTCTAGGCTCCCGGGCAGGGAAGGATATCTGCTGTCAGCCCTCAGGCTGGTGTCCTCCTCACTGGCTCTCTGCAGCGCCTCTTCCATCGCCAGCACTTTCTGCAGGCTGGTCTGCATCTCCTCTTCCCCCGCCAGGAGTTTCTGAGCCACTTTCTCCTCCGTAGCTAGGAGATCTGCAGTGGGGGAGAGGCCGCCTTTGCCATCAACCCCTAGTCATCTGCTAGGGGCGCTACACACCCTTCTCTGGACCAGCGGGGAGGGGGCCCGACTGGGGGCTGCTGAGCCAGCAGGACCCTTGCACAGAGTGACCCTGATCGACCCCAGCCAATCCACACTGCTCCCTCCACCCGCTGAGGGAGGCGCTTCCATGCAGGTGATGGGTCACAGGGTCCAGCCTGGCGCTACGCTCCCGCATTGGGATTTCTGGTGACCACCCCATGGTTCTTAGCGCTGTAGGGAGCTGAGCCGCTCTCTGATTTGTTCCCACTGAACAGGGAGAGCAAGTCTGTCCCTCTAGGCGTGCAGGCCTCATGGGCTGGGTTTCAGCCCGAGGGATAGCAGCAGCCAAGCTCTAACCGTGCCCCAGGGAGCCGCCTGGCCTGGCAGCACCCCCAACTCAGGTGAGAGGGCTGTGTGTGTGGGGCGAGGGAAGAGCCTGAGTTAACTGCAGTGAGGCCAGACCCTACAAACCACTGGGCTCCCAGGGAACAGCACTTACCTTTAACCAGCTGCGCCGCCGTCAGCTGCGTATCCAGGAGCTTGTCAAACATCTTCTCCTGTTTGTCCAGGCTTCTCTTCAGCAGGTTCCCAGCCCCACCTGCTGCCAGCAGCTTCAGCAGCTCCTTGCTCACCTCCTCCATCTCCTGCATTTGTTCATTCATCATGGCTGTCAGCGGCCACTCCCCAGACTCAGAGGCACTGAGGCAAAAGAGCAGGGTATGAGAGAGACACTGTACTTCTTCCAGTACCGTCCCGCCCCTCACACACCTCCTGTTCCTTTACCCACAGTTCCCTCTGGCCCCATCAGGCCTGAGCCACCTCCCCCATGGTCCTGAACTCATTTAAATGGCTCCTTTTCATGACCCCTGGCCCAACTGTGTCGTTCTGAGGGCTTGTCTCCCCTGGCATTTTACAGCGCTGCAACTTTCTCGCTCAGGTGTGTGAAAAAACACCCCCGAGTGCAGCAAGTTTCAGCGCTGTAAAGCGCCAGTGTAAACAGTGCCCCAGCGCTGGGAGCCGTGCCCCACGTGGAAGTCGGTTTTTTTAGAGTGCTGGGAGAGCTCTCTCCCTCCGCTCTGCTGTGACTACACAAGCCACGGTAAAGCGCTGCCGCGGCCAGTGTAGACTAGCCCACCCACTGGCTAGTGCGAGGCAGCTCTGGTTAGGGCCCCACAGATGGCAGAGGTGGAAAAGGCCTCCCTGGCTTAGTTAAGGTGGGACGCAGCATCTCCCTACCAAGGGTCTCTCTAGCTCCATGATGAATCACTGCAGAGGGGGCTTCACTCCCCAGTTGTTAACTGTCCACAGCTGCTCGCTGCCCTGCTGTCTCCCAGGGCTTGGCTCCATTGCCATGTCAATGCAAGTTAGCGCTTAAGATCATAAGAATGGCCAGACTAGGTCAGGCTAATAGTCCAGCTAACCCAACATCCAGTCCCAACATCAGGTCCCAGCTTCTGGCAGGCAGAGGTTTAGGGACACTCAGAGCATGGAGCTGCGTCCCTGCCCATCCTGGCTAACTGCCACTGAGGGATCCATCCTCCGGGAACTCAGCTAATACTGTTTGGAACCCAGTTATACTTTGGCCTTCACACCGTCCCCTGGCAGTGAGTTCCACGGGTTGACTGTGTGTTGTGGGAAGTGGAACTTCCTTATGCTTGCTGCCTATTGGTTCCACTGGGTGACCCCTAGTTCTTGACGGGGTAAACAACACTTCCTTGCTCACCTTCCCTGCCCCACCTGTGACTTTACAGGCCTCTCGCACCCCCCCCCCCGCTAATCTCGCCTCCCACCCCCTCGCCTTTCTGCTGCTCTTCCCTGCATCTTTTCCAGTGCTAGCTCCTCCTTCTGGAGATGGGGCCGGGGGCGCCCCAGCGATTCGTCCAGAGACAACGGGACAGTTTCTGTCCTAGTCCGGATCCCGCACCCAAGGCTCCTAATGGCCGGCTCGGTTTTCACTGCTGCGGCTGCGGGGGGGGGGGGGGGCGTGCGGGGGTGTTGGGGCACGGGGGGCCGCGGGGGGTTGGCGGGCCGGAAGGGCGCGGGGGCTGGGCCAGGGGGTGGCGGGCCACGGGGATGGGGGGGGGGGCGCGCGGGGGGTGCCGGGGGGCGCAGGGGGGGGGGCGCAGGGGGTTGGCGGGCTGGGGGGTGCGCGGGGGTTGGCGGGCCTGGGGGTGGGACACGGGGGGGGTTGGCGGGAGTGTCGGGCCAGGGGGGACACGGGGGGGGGGTTGGCGGGCCTGGGGGAACGCGAGGGGCCCGGGGGGGGACACCGGGGGGGGTTGGCGGGAGTGTCGGGCCAGGGGGGCGCGGGGGGTTGGCGGGCCGGGGGGAACGCGAGGGGCCCGGGGGGGGGACACGGGGGGGGGTTGGCGGGAGTGTCGGGCCGGGGGGGCGCGGGGGGTTGGCGGGCCGGGGGGTCGCGCGGGGGGGGTGTCGGGCCGGGGGGCGCAGGGGGGTTGGCAGGCCTGGGGGAACGCGAGGGGCCCGGGGGGGGGGACACGGGGGGGGTTGGCGGGAGTGTCGGGCCGGGGGTCGGGCCGGGGGGCGGGGGCGGGGGGGTTGGCGGGCCGGGGGGAACTCGCGAGGGGCCCGGGGGGGGACACGGGGGGGGGTTGGCGGGAGTGTCGGGCCGGGGGGGCGCGGGGGGGGTTGGCGGGCCGGGGGGGTCGCGCGGGAGTGTCGGGCCGGGGGGCGCAGGGGGGTTGGCGGGCCGGGGGGAACGCGAGGGGCCCGGGGGGGGGGACACGGGGGGGGTTGGCGGGAGTGTCGGGCCGGGGGGGGGGCGGGGGGGTTGGCGGGAGTGTCGGGCCGGGGGGGCGCGGGGGGGGGGTTGGCGGGAGTGTCGGGCCGGGGGGAACGCGAGGGGCCCGGGGGGGGGACACGGGGGGGGGGGGTGGCGGGAGTGTCGGGCCGGGGGGGGCGCGCGGGGGGTTGGCGGGCCGGGGGGAACGCGAGGGGCCCGGGGGGGCACACGGGGGGGCACACGGGGGGGGGTTGGCGGGAGTGTCGGGCCGGGGGGGGGCGGGGGGGGGGCCGGGGGGAGGGGCGGTGTCAGGGCCCCGCGCTCACCTCAAGCCGCTCGTCCGGGCGCTCTGGTGAGGAGGCGGGACCTAGCCCCCTCCGTCCCGCCCCCACCTCCTGGCCATTGGCCTGGGCGGCCGGCGCTCTCGCCACGGATTGGCCGCCCCGCCCCGCCTCGCCCAATCGGAGCCCACCCGCCTGGCTCGCGCCGCTTTTGAAAAAAAGACTGGTGGTTGTTGACTTTACGCGCGCGCAGTGCGGGGGGGGGGGGGCTCATTCGCCCCGCCCCGCCCCTGCCCCGTGCGCATGCGCTCCTCCCTGTTTTCCCCGCTCAGAGCGGTTCTTAGCCCGAGCTGCCACCAGGGGGCGGCAGAGAACGCGGCCCAGCGCGGGGGCAGGCCCCATGGGAGAGCCACGTGGCCAGGCCCTGCAAGGGGCGGGGCGGGGTCAACACGGGACCACGTGGCTCGCACGGGGCGCCTGGGACTTGGGGGGCCGGGCCCCCCCCCAAGCCAGGATCCCCCAAGGGCTGGTGTGAGGCCCAGTGAGAGCTGTAACCCCCCCGCCCCGGCCTGGGCCTTGGCCCCTGGGGGGCAGAGTTCTGGGGACCCTCGAAGGGACGTGGCCCCCCAGCGGCCCGTGTGGGCTCCCCCCCGTCCCGGAGCTGCCCCCCAACCCCCCCGCCCCGGAGCTGCCCCCCGTCCCCCTGGCTGTGGCCTGGCGGCTCGTGCGGCCGGGCCTGGGGGGCACAGCCGGGCTGGTCACGGGGACCTGGGGCGCGGCCCCGTTGGCGACGCGCCGGGCTCTGTCCCTGAAACCCCGGCTCCGGCTGCCCCGCGGGCCCGGGCGGGTTTGGGGTGCCCAGGAACAAGGCCGGCCTGGGCCTCGGGGCTGAGAAGCGTCCGGCTCTGGCCCCAGAAAGGCTCCAAAAGCCGGCGGCTGATAAGAAGCCCCCCCTCAGCCGTTTTACAGAAACTCCCGATTCAGTCTCTTGCGTTTGGTGAGCCTGGCGCAGGCGTTTTGAACAGTTGGGGGTGGCCATACGGCCAGGCAGACCTGGGGGGGAAGGGGCTGCAGGCCCCCCTCCCACAGAACTGCCCCTACACCTCCCCCAGGCCTGAGCCGGGAGCCCGCAGCCCCCAGGGCTGGGAATGGGGCCACCAGCAGCTAGCCAAGCCGCCGGCTTTGTAACTCCCCAGCCCGTGCCAGGTTTGGGTCGCAGGGTGGGTGCTGCACAGAACCTGGGGGGGGTGCGGGCTTGGGGACTTTGTAAGAAAAGTGACCCCGCCCCCCCCCCATGGATGCACAGGCTGGCCTGGAGACCAACCCCCCCGAGCTGCCCATGGCGCACCCCCCCTTCACATACCCAGCGGCACACCCTACCCCAGCCACCTCCCCCTCAGGCAGATGCTCAGCGGCACCCCACCCCCAGACGTGCCCAGACACCCCAACCCCCGTGGGGAAGCCAGAGGCCAGAGGCAAGGTCCCTTCCTCCTGGTTTTATTGTGAGCTCCGCAGCTCCGAGAGGGAGACCGCAAGGAGATGGCCAAGGAGGAGCTGTTACACCAGATACAGACGCGGGGGGAGAGGGAGCTCAGATCCTGGGGAGGGGGCTCAGCCCCCCCCCGGCCCACGCTGGGGGACGGGCTGTCTTGTTTGAGTGGGGGGTCATTTACAGCTGCTATTCACAGTATGTACAGAACAAAACCGACCCGACCGACGCACCGAACCAAACCGCGTACAAAAATAAAGGCTCTACGGGGCGGGCGCCACCCGACCCCCGCTCCGGCCACACCCCGGCTGGCGGAAAATCAAAATCCATCGCTACAGTACAGTGTTCAGACATGGCACCGCTCCCCCCAGTCGGCCACGGGCCCCACCCGGGCACTAGCTGGGGCCGCCCGCATGGCTTGCGCCTGCCCCGGGCCCACGCCCAGTGGCACATCGCTTGGGTGGGCCCTGCCCCTGTTCCTCATCCCCCCAGCCCCACTCTTGTCCCAGGCACCCTCACAGGGCAGCCTCCGGCCTGAGGACCCCAAGGTGCTGGCCCCAGGGGACGAGCCCCAGGAGACGCTGCACCCAAGGGCTTTTGTTCGGAAGCTCATGGTAGGGGCACCAGCCCCAGCCTGCTCCCATTCCCCTGCCCCCTCGCTCCCGGAGGACATTTGCCATGCGACTGCCCCCTCCCAACTCAATGGAGAGAAACTCTGATTTCCTGCGGGGCGAGGGGGGGGGGTCACCCTGACGTAACCCCAGAGATCAGCCCCGCAGAACGAGCCCCGCGTGTCTTGCAGACAGAACCGGGCAGGTGCAGATGTGGCGAGTGGGACCAAGGGGGGGGGGGAAGCTGCCCCCCCCCCATTTAGCACAGGGACACCCTGAGGAAATGGTTCTAAAACCCCAGCTCCAGCTGCCCCCACCAGATGCTGGACATTCGGGGGGGGGGGGAGCCAGGGAAGGCAGAAGCCAGGGGGCCCAGTTCCCATTTGCCGGGGGTGGTGTCCCGCGTCTGCACTAGCCCAGTTGGCTCCTGCTGAGGCCTGGTTGGTGCAGAGCCCCAGAGAGCCAGGCTGCAGCGCTGCCCGCCAGGGTCTACGAGGCCATGGCCAGAGGGGGGCGCTTGTTCCGCTCTCCCCCCACACCGTCGGCCCCGTGTTCCCACCAGCGCAGGGAGAGGTCCGGGGGCTTCGGCGCTCGAGGGGGGGTCAGTTAAAGCCCTCGGGAGCCGGGCGCTCTGGCTTCCTGCTGGCCCCGGATCCTCTCGCAGGGCCAGAGTCCCGAGGGTGCACAGGGGTCGGGTGCCTAACGTTGCATAGGGCACCAAGCAGGAGCCCCAAAGGACAGTCCGGAGCCCAGCACCCACTGAATCCGGCTTTGGCACCTTCGACTATCCCCTGGGCGCCTCCCTGCAGCGGTGGTGCCCGTAGCCCGTCAGCTGCCAGCTGAGGGGGGTGGGGGGGGTTGGCAAGTCAACTCAAAGGGAAGCGAAGCTGCTTCCCAGCTGCTCAGGGGGTGGGGGGGGCAGGGGAGCAGGTGGCTGATACATTCAGTCCATGCGGCCGGAGCGCCGTATTTGTGCAAACGGATGAAGAGAGGAAGACTTGGCTGGCTGGGCACTCGAGAGCTTCGAGGGCGGGGGTTGGAGCTTCACCGTTTAGTTCCCCCTTTTCAAAAGTTAACCCCCCTCTCATCCTCCTGGGAAAGGGGGGGCTATGGCCTCAGTGGGGGAGGGGAAAGAGGGGGACGAAATGAACCCCCGAGCAATGGGAGAAAAAAATCTGATTACAGAAAAATAAAACAACTTTTCTCCCCTCCCCAACTTTCCAAAAATAATAATTAATTTACAATAAATTACCAGGTGCGTTAAAAATAACCCAGACCCCACAACCATCCCCTCCCTTCGTAGTAATAAATTAAAATAATAATAGCCACCCTTGTGCGGCCTGGAGCAGCCCGCAGCGTTGGCACAAAGACCCCGGCCAGAACTAGCCTGGCAGAGGGGTCACAGCTAGGACAGTGTGCAGGGCTGGGGGGGGCAGCAGAGTCAGCTGCCCCCCCGTGCGCCGATTCTGCTCTGTGTTCATTCCTGATTGTTTAAAAAAATATATCTCTGAAGGCCGCGGGGTGAGGGGGACCCGAATGGAAAGCGAAAAGCACCCACTGCCCCGGCCCCCCCGGCTGCTCCAAATCAAAAATCATCCGAACGAATCCGTAAAAAAACCAGCA